TGTAGGTCCTATGTCGAGCATTAAAAGTGTTTTGGTGGTGAAAACTGTGATTCCTGATGTGTTGATTGCAAATGAAGTAGGTGTCACCGGACAGTCTGTAGTTGTTAGATCTTATACTTTTTGTCATCAAATGAAATGGAGCTACATTCTTGAAGGAATTCTGGTTTTTCTTATCAATGGGTATATAAATAGATCTGTCAATAGAATTTTATATGTGCATTTTGTAGCGCAAATCAATGGTGTGACCGGTGATAGACAACTAATACAGGTCTTCTTAGATCTTTGTTGTTAATCTTAGTGTGTGTTTCATGACATGTGACTCATCCTGTGTAATTTTTATCTGAAACTTCTCTGCCTATCTGATTTGCTTTCTATATCTGAAGAAGTCTTTATGCTGGTGGCAGATAATAAAAGACTGATACTTCATCCCAGTAATGTTGTGTCAAATAGCAGAAAGTGACTGATGTAGGCCTAAATTAAAATTGAACCTCAAGACTCTAAATACAAAAATGAATTCTAGCTGAAATTAGATGTACAATCATATATTTTTAAACATTCACACTTATTATGTAATGCAATAAATGGATAACTATACTGTCAATTAGAATATGCTAACGACACTATTGCTCATCATCACAATACTCTGATATATATTTGAGCTTGAGTCGACATGTCTTGCTGGTGAATGCTCCTCTGTAGCCTTCTATTTAAAACCCTCAACCAGTACTGCTTGACACTGTGTTCGTAATAACAAGTGACTATTTAACCACTGAGGCCTTCCATACAGTTGCTATCTATCTGTCTTTTTGTGTGCCTACTCCCTCTTTCCTGTCACCTGCTGGTGTTACATCATGTCTTGTGCCCTTCCCACATGCTGTGCTGTTATCAATTTCCCAGCACAGGCTGTTAATGACAGTTTAGCGTTTGAGTATTCATATTCCCAGCTCACGCATAACTTCCATTTAGTGAGCATGGTTAGATGGGTCTACACACTGATGTATTTCTGTGTTGGTTGGAAGTGGGAGGGGGGGGGGGGGGGTTAATTAGTCATGCTAATGAGTTCCTATATTTAAATGTGTTTTTTTTTCCTGTGTATCAATGGCACTGTCAGTTATTTCTTTGGATACTGAGGGGTCTTGGCTGATTGTAGTGATAAGCTTACTTCTTTCCCGTTTGCCACCTCTCTTCTGGTATCACTGTAGACTGCAGAGGGAGTGACCCTTGGAACATTATTCAACTTTTATTGTGTGACAAGTGTTTGTTTCATGTCTCTCTGTTCATTTCTTTCACAGGTAGATGTTAGATTTCTGTTACATCCTTTAAAAAAACTTCCTGTGTTGAAACTGATGTTTACCACAAAACCAAATATTTCTAGATCTATACCTTATGATACAGTACATTCAAGGAGTTATTTCTTTCCGTCCTCTTTTCCAAGCACAATTGATGTACTTTTTTTTTTTTAGTATATTGGCTCAGACTGCCAAATTCATAATTTTAGATTGTTATTCTTTTGGACACATCGGCTGTTATTTTCCAGATCATCTAATCTGTTGGTTATGGTTAACTCACTGGAATAGAATGGGTTTTTTTTCTTTCTAATAGATTGTATGTATTTTGGCATTACTATGCAGTGGTGGTAAGCTTGAAAGGTGGCAGGGTACCTCATTAGATCTGATGTGTTGATTATGAATATTATAACAAAAGCAGTATACTGTATTCTATGTATTGAATCACTTTTGTGGGTGCGGTGTAACTGTTTGAATGTCAGCTGTTGTGAATTTTCAATGAGATGTGAATTTTTTTTAAAATCAGGAATTATTTGAGTTGGTTATTCGAATATTTGTATGTTCGATATAGGGCTATTCCACGGTAACTGACGGGACATTTTGACTATACTTTCTTACAATGATAACACTGTAATTCAATATCAGTTAATTTATTTCAACTTTAAATTATCAGACATTTGAAAGATACATTCATTAAGAAGCATATTAAATGCAGTCATTTGAAAGAAAAGAACAATATGCAAATTCTTTGACCTGCTTAGTGGCGGTAACCGACGGGACAATTGAGGTAATTTCTCTGTCCTGTCTGTTACCGAAACTAAACACATCTCAGAATTTGCTTAAAGTACTTTTTTTTCAAACGACCGCATTTAATCTGAGTCTTAATGCGTCTTTCAGATGTTTTGATTTTTCAAGTTTTAGATAAATTAATTGGTATTGAATTACAGTGTTATCATTGAAGTGAATGTTATATCTGTTGGACGCATGTGTAACATTTCACTATTTATCTAGGACAACCCATAGTCAGAGATAAGACACATCTGTCCAGTCAGCGAGGGACACACCCACTTCCCGGGGATCTTGTAGAACCTGCTATCAGACAGGTGCTGTCCACTCATTGACAGTAAGATGTTTATGGGGTTTTGTGGCTCAGGTGGGGGAGATTAAAGTCTTTTATCTGTGGGTGCTATGTTCAGGATGTTTAAGAAGTTTGAGGATGAAATAAATATTGGTCTGAAGGTGGATTACAGACAAAATCAGTTGGTTCAAATTTTGCATTTGTGGGGAGAGAGAGAGAGAGAGAGAGAGAGA